CTATGGAGAGTCCCCACAAACCATAAAAACAAACCTGTGTGTGTGATCTTAAAGACAAGGGTCTCGCTCTCTTTTCTTTAATAGTGCCAATAAATCAGACAATATTTGGCCGTTTTGTTCTAGGCATCAAGCGTCTCCATCCCTGACAAGATAAGAGAATTTCTGTTTTGAAAAAAATGTTTAGTCAAATAAGTGTTTTGTTGAAATGTTCAAGTAACAATGAATTTAATGTGACATTTCAGTAGAAGTAGAACAACTGAAATAGTGTTTTGTAAAACATGCTCCAATAATCATTTAAATTAACCGCTTTGGAAACTGTTTTTTTCCGGTGTGTGAGTGAACATACTTGTGTTTCTTCACTGTGAGCACTCTCATCTGTGGAAAATAACACACTCTGTCTGATTTCTGTATGTGTTTATTACACACATGAGAGTGACTGAGCTGCTGTGTTCTGATGCAGAGGCTAACCCATCAAAGGCTTCTGCTTCCTCTGGACTTCTTTACAGCGCTGCTGCATCATGGGTAATAATCAGACTGATGCTCCCTGAGTCACACTCATGTTCTGGTATAAAATACAGTGAGATCAGGACTAGCCACACTAATATTTTATATTTCCCTGTGTGATTATGACAGACACTCTTAAAGGCAGCTTCTGTCACTTAACAACACTAAACACACTGACTGCTTTAGCGGGGCATGTTGTCACACTCTATGGGATACGCTTTAATAATGACAACGATTTACAAAGTATAAAAAGCCTTTTTCCAGCACGTATCTGTACTTTAAATGTATTAGACTATTTAATGGCTTTTCATTAGGATTTTAACAACGAAACAATTGTAAGCCTTGTAACCTAACTTAAACAGTCATTATCAGAAACACCCAAAATAATTCCAAGTAGCACAGATTTATATATATATATATATATATATATATATATATATATATATATGGAATTATATAGTATACTATATATAATATAATATATGGAATTATATAGGGAATGTCAACGTAAAAGCACTCTATAACTATAATCATTAAATCATTCTATATTATGTATTGCAAGTAATTTGGGGAGTTTAAAAGGCACTCGTTTTTTTCAGTTGCTTTATGGATTGAAATAAAATGTTAATTTAAATGCATTTGTCAAACAACCTACAAAGCAATTTATGTAGACTGTATTTGGGCAATTATTATTTTCTATCGTTTGAATTGCATACAATTCATATATTCCATATCCATATACCATTACATATTTATATAGACTGACCATTATTAACATTATTTAAATGAAGTTATGATTTGTTTTGTTTAGGAGACGCATACAAATTGTGCTTTTGTGTGACTTTACAAAACTAAAATGTATTTTTTATTAGTAAAGGAAAATGGCAACAAGAGTCCAGCACACAGGGGAATAAATAAAACGATATATAAACATAAAGAGCTGAGTCTGACTTTTGTGCACAATCACACACACACTCTCTCTCTTTCTCTCTCTTACACACACACACTCTCTCTCTCACACACACGATGTTTTCGGGGTAAATGCTCCTCGAGTGACTGATTTGGCGTCTACATGGGGATCGATGTCTGGTGGAGACGCTTCCACCGATGATCCGGGCGTACAGGGTTGTGACGAACCCACCTGAACTTCTACATCACACTTCTTCTGATTTCACTCAAAGCGCCTTGTAAACTCTCAATGGAGCCGCTGAAGAACATATTCTCCCGCGGGCCGCTGTCCACCTGGAAGAGCCTGGATCAGACTCAGAAGGGCAGCTTCACCAACCCGGTTTGGACCGCTTTGTTCGATTACGAGGCTGCGGGGAAAGACGAACTCACACTGCGTAAAGGGGACCTAGTGGAGGTCCTGTCTCTGGATTCGGAGATATCCGGAGACGAAGGATGGTGGGCAGGAAAGGTCAACAACAAGGTGGGAATCTTCCCCTCCAACTACGTCTCCTTCAAGCCCAGCGGATACGGTGAGCTGCAGGGCTCCGGTTTGGGACCGAGCGAGTTGGAGCCGGAGACGGTGGACTTCAGCGAGCTGAGTCTGGAGGAGGTCATCGGGGTCGGCGGGTTCGGGAAGGTCTACCGAGGGACCTGGAAGGGTGAGTTGGTGGCAGTGAAAGCGGCCCGTCAGGATCCGGACGAGGATATCAGCGTCACAGCCCAGAACGTCCAGAACGAGGCCCGGCTCTTCGCCATGCTCCAGCACCCCAACATCACCGCGTTCAAGGGCGTTTGCCTGCAGGAGCCCAACCTGTGCCTGATCATGGAGTATGCGTCTGGCGGCCCGCTGAGCCGTGCTCTGGCCGGACGACGGATCCCGCCGCACGTTCTGGTCAACTGGGCGGTGCAGATCGCCCACGGGATGCAGTACCTGCACAACGAGGCCATCGTCCCCGTCATCCACCGAGACCTCAAGTCCAACAACAGTAAGCTCACGTCCTTCTGTTCTAGACAGGCTCAGTTTCCAGCAGACATTTATGCTGTTTTATTCAAAGATACTTACTTTGGATTCAAGCTGTATATTATATAAGTTCATGCATTCACTGGGAATCAAATCCATGACCTTGCGTTTCTATTACTTTTTTAATAGCCACAAGAATTTAGACTAGGGAATGACCGTAAAGGAGACATTTATTTTATATTTACACTAATACATTTGGTAGAGACATTCTGAAGCAATTTACATTGCATTAAGTCTACATATCTGGTCAGTTCATTAATTTCCTGGGAATCAAACCCATGACCTTGCATTTCTATTACTTGAGTGCCACAAGAATTTAGACTAGCGAATGACCATAAAGGATCCATTTATTGTATTTTTACATTGCATTCAATTTACACATTTGGTCAGTTCATTCATTCGCTGGGAATCAAACCCATGACCTTGGTGTTTCTATTACAGGTTAGATCAGCTAATGATAATAAAGGATCCATTTCTTTTAAATTGACAAAAATGCATTTGGCAGATGCTTTTTTCCAAAGCAACATGCATTGCATTGTCCACACATCGGTCAGTTCATGCATTTCCTGGGAATCGAACCCATGACCTTCTCGTTGAGCTACAAGAATGCTCAATTTTCTTTTATAATCCCATTTCTGTTAGAGTCCATCTCAACGTTCCCATTTTTCATCCAGTATGGTCCGTTCTTGGGTTCATTCAGCCGCTGGCGCTGTTGTGTTTTGGTTTGGGATTATTATCAGGCCCACATGGAATCTCGCCCGCAGAACTCGGGGAAAAGCTCTGCAGGTTTCCGCAGAGTCGTAACGCCCTTCATTTACAGAGCTCTACATCCTCTGGCTGTTGCATGTGCATTTGGTTTGGTATTGTGTCTAACTCGATTGTGCATTCAGCTCTGTTGGTGTAAATTTAGCTCTGCTTAAATCCATTCCACAGAATTCCACCAATAATCTTTTTAAAATTCCATCTGGGCCTCGATAGTATTTATTGGGGTTATTTGGTTGCGCTCCAGGACACTGAGAGAATCGCCTGTTTTGGAGAAGAGGATATTCCCATGGCATGTATCACACAGTTGTGAAGGGAATGCTGTTGGCCTGGATATCAAATGACTCACACACACACACACACACACACACACACACTTTGCCAAGTTGTGAAACTCGATAACAAGACCACACACGGGTCAAAGATCATATTAGGACACAGACATACGGAGCTGGACTTTGTGTTTGCATTGCTCATTATATTGTACCATGTTTATTTGTCGTGTACTGATAGATATTTATGCACCTATAAATCTGTACAGCCTTGATTTTACTCAGACCAAAGTAAATGTATTATTCTTAAATTTAATGATTATGTCTTATGATTAATACATTTAACATATTTTCATCCAGCAGTTGACCATGTTTCATAAAAGCATAATAATCTGAATGAACAGTAATATTTCATTAGTCCCAACTGTAGGTTCTTTATTAATATACATATTAAATTCTAACATGAATTGCAGGTGTGTATTTTTCAGCATTAGCAAAGACTTTGATCGCAGCTCATCCAATCAGAATAAAGAGTTAGAACTATAAATATTTATCTCGTAAACACAGAGTTGTTTAATGAGAACGTTTTTTGTTGAGTCAATAGTTTAATTTGAAGAGTTTCTTTAATCAGTAGTTTAATGTGAACTCTTTATTAATATGCATATTACATTTGAACACAAATTACAGGTGTTTATTTTTCAGCATTCTCAGAGACTTTGATCACAGAATATGGAGTCAGAACTATTAATGTTTATCTCGTAAGCACTACGTATACAGAGATGCACAGTGCTTTTTAAAAGCGAGTATTTGTAGTCTTCCTTCCTCAATTTTTCTTTCTTTTTCCCCACTCTCTTACACCTTTACCCAGTGTCTGTTTGGTTATTGTCCACCCACATATATCCCATGATCCTTACTTCCCTCGAGTCAGGAGAGAGCGTGTCCGGCGGGCTGGAAACCACCTCAGTTGCGTAAAACAAACTTTTTAATGCCGGCTCGCAACACACTGCAGCCAAAGCAGCTCAGTTTACCGGCTGTAGCTGCGATCTTATCTCTCTCTCTCTCTCTCTCACTCTGCCTGTTGTTTTTTAATTCTTTCCGAGCTCTTTGTCCCAGACCTGCCCTTACTTGTCTCTCGAGCTCTGTCGTTCCAGATCGCAGCATCCTGTGTTTTTCTTTCTTCTTTCGTCTGTTTCTTTTGTCCCCCCAGCTAACTTCATTTTTTGCTTCCTACTCATTTTCTAAAGACAGCCTCCCTCTGTTCCTGCACTCCACTCGATGACGGAGGATCATGGGCCGGCGCTCAGTCTCTGCCAGTAGTTCAGCGTCAATTATTTCAGCAAAGAGCTCCTTCACTTCTCATTATTTCATCACTAGTTTAATCTCAAGAGTTTGTTTTTCAGTTAGTAGTTTAATTAAGCTTTCAAGTTTAATCAGTTGTTTAAAAGTGAAAAGTTTCTTATTTAATTGGTAGTTTAGTTTGAAGAGTTTCTTCATTCAGTAGTTTAATGAACAGTTTCTTCTTTAACCAGTAATTTAAATAGTTTCTTCTTTGTTCAGTAGTTTAGCATGAAGAGTTTCTTTAATCAGTATTTTAATGTAAAATAGTTTATTCTTTAATCAGCGGTGAAATGTCAAGAATGTTTTCTTTATTCAGTAGTTTAGTGTGAAAAGTTTCTTTAATTGGTAGTTTAGTCTTAATAGTTTTTCATTCAGTAGTTTAATTAACCGTTTCATCATAAACTAGTAGTTTATATTAAACAGTTTCTTCTTTAATCAATAGTTAAATGTGAAAAGTTTATTCAGTAGTTTAGCATGAAGAGTTTCTTTAATCAGTAGTTTAATGTAAAATAGTTTCTTCTTTAATCAATAGTTAAATGTGAAAAATGTATTCAGTAGTTTAGCATGAAGAGTTTCTTTATTCGGTAGTTCAGTGAAAAGTTTTCTTATTTTTTCAGTAGTTTAATGAACAGTTTCTTCTTTAATCAGTAGTTTAATGTGATAGGTTTATTCTATACTCCGTATTAATAGAAAGACTTTCTTTAATCTGTAGGGTTCGGTGAAGGGCTTTCTTATTTCATCAGTAGTTTAGGGTGAAATGTCCTCAATGATAGTTTATGTAGTTTCTTCTGGATTTAATCAGTAGTTCAGTTTGAAGACTTTCATTCTTTCATCAGTTGTTTGATGTGAAGTTTCATTAGTGAGATTTGATGTTACAGTTCAGTGAAATGTGTATCAACACCAGTGACAACTGTGAAATTCTGGTTAAAACATTAATTAATCAGGTTATAGTATGTGCTAGAAAGATTTTTTGAATAAACCATGTATCCAAACCCTGAAAAGTTCTGCTGTCACCTGTGGTTGTGTTCCGATCCTCATGTGTGTTGTATTTAGTCATTCAGATCCTCGCTCAGCTCATTCTCTCCGTCTGTCTAATCTATTACGATCTGATTGTTTGCGAACTTTACCGCTTCACACAACATTCCAGATCATTTACTTGATGCTAGAAGCTTGGCTTGATTGTCGTCTGGTTGCGATGTTTGTCCTGCGAGAGGATTTTGTGTCCTATAATCACATTCATTCTGACATTTGAAGGTTTCGCACCCAAACGTGGCTCAGCAGTCCAGAGTCTGAGCGTCTGGTGTTTTCCAGGTGAGCGCGAGGACAGAAGATCACTTTACAGGAATCTAGCCAAGCCAAGACTATTTTATCTCTATAGTGCTTTTCACAATAAACACTGTTTCAAAGCAGCTTTACAGAAATCATGATGTTAATGTTTATAATGTCTGTACCTTCATACCTTGAAGCAGATAGAGCTGGATGGTAATATAGTTTCATTATGTTATGATATAAACAATCACACAGTTGAGATTTACTGCCGGCTGAGTGTTTGGAGATGATAGATTTTGTGGTGTGTTTGCATTGACACAGACAGACAAATGAAGTCAGATCTGCGTGTTGATTTCAGACCTGTTCAGAGTAAAGCTGTGTTAAATCTGGAGGGAGTTTCTGAGGTGACTAATGTGTAAATCAGTTTTTATCATTCGATTTCTGCCATGTGTTTTAATGAAATGTATTTCTCCACTTGTTTCTGCATGCTTTATACTTGTTTGTCACTTGATCAAATTTAAGATTCTTTACTGTTTTGGCTAAATATGCCTTAATATTAGCTTTACATTTTGATTTATTTACTTTTTAGGTTTTTTTTCTTTTCATTTTTATTAATTTTGTGTTTAAAAAAATATCTATATAGTTAATAATTAATCATTTTTAAGTTAATTGAATTTTTATTTCTAGCTAAACTGCAAGAACATGCTATAATGGTATATCAATGATACTACAGTTTTTTCTTCAACAGCTTAAACACATTTTCAGAACTTTACACACAAATCCAAGAACTGCACACACAAAATGTAAAATGCCATACATCTCTTGCAAAATATCACAAACACATCTCAAAAGCAAACATTTGCAAACACCTTTGCCATAATATTAATTCCTGTTAGATTTGTGTGTGTTACATAGAGAATTGTGTGTTGTGTTTTGCAAAAAGTGTTTTATGAAATTGAAAACCGAGTCAAAGTCTGTGAATTAGTGTATGGTTTTGCAGATTTGGTGTGTGGTTCTGCTGTTTGAGTGTCAGCTTTCAGAAACTGTGTGACAAGGAAAGATTTAGTGTGCAAGCTGATCAAAAACACTGATATGGGTTTGATGAGTAAGTGATGACTTTCACAACTGCATGCCTAAAGCTTTTACTTGTTTTGTTTCCTGATATATTAATACTTTAATTGTTCATGCACAGAAGGAACAGTCCAAACCATCCAGTGCGGTGCTGGAAATATGGCCTGTTTCTTCATCATGTATGGTTTACCTCTGATGCGTTAAACTGGTCTGGGCTGCACACTGAAGGGCTTTAGGGTCAAATCTGTGAACT